TTGAAATTTATCATCCAAAGTTTTAGAAATAAATTCTTTTAAATCTCCCACATCAAAATCTTTTTTCTGAGTCTGTATCTGTTGTGCTGGGGGAGGCTGTGCTTTATGTGTGGGAGATCCACCTCCTGTTGCCTTCGCTTCCTGCTTCTTTGAGGCCATCCTGCCACGTAGGCTGGTTTTATTAAAAAAGGAAGTTCTTCTTCATCTCCCACCTCCACAAAGACTTCTAAAAAAGTCCCCCAGATTTAATCAAATAAGAACCAAAGTAAAGCAAAGTCCAGTATTAAAAAAGGAGAAATTTCTCTCTTATTTCTCTTGTTGCATGCAAAGCAACTTCGTAGCAGTTTAAAAACTTTGTAACAAAGCAAGATGAGTTCAGCAATCCACACTCGCCAGCTCGTTAGCTCTAAGGCTAAGCGCCATGTTTTTACAGTTCACTTTCACTCATCCGCATTTTTTCACTCAGATTAGAAAGCCAAGAAAACTCTAATACTTGCGCTTCCGAGTTTCAGGGTTCAAGTAACAGTATGCTGCTCATTAAAGCTGGTTCCTTTTCTTTCAATTTAAGGTTTCCTGTAGCCGGCTTGTTCTGCAAAAGCAGACTTGTCCCACGCCGCCCGAAGTTCCAGCAGGTTGAATGGGAGCCGCTCCTGTTCCCTCCCCAGAAACTATTCCCTGGGGGGGTTGCAGGGGCTCAACCTGTGCCCTGCGATCTCTCTTCAAAAATCCTAGAGATTTTTGAAGTTTTCGAGCCGCTTCTTAGTCACGAAGCGGCTCTACAAGCGGCGGGGCTGGCGGAGCTTCAAAAGGCACCGCCGCCGCTGAAGACAAGGAAACCGGAAGTCCCCTTGTTCAGTTCATTCTTGTTGAGTACTGGGTTTTGGACACTTTGATTTGGTAAACAATTGGAGGGAGGAAATGTTTCTCATCTTTGCAGATAACCTAGAAGTGGCTAGGATAGATTTGACACTACAATGACAGAAATCATAATTAGGGTAATCTAGAATCCTGATTTAGCATAATGAATGAAACCGATGTGTATGTGATTAAAAATACATTGCAATTCTTTGCTTTTCCAATGCTTTCTCAATATCCAAAGAGAGATAGTGTAGAAGGCAGAGGAAATGGCATTGAGAGACCATTACCAAGACAAGGTCAGATAAAAGTAGTACGGATTTATAGGATATAGCTTTCCTAATCGGTAATACACCGAAGGGCTGACTGACAAAAAGACAAAGATAAAGAAAGGACACATTCACAAAAACAAATTTATATATTGGTAGGTAAAGGTTTAGGTGGGTATAGGTAAAGATTTCCCCTGTCAGTCATGACCAACCCAAGGGGCAGTGCTCATCTTTGATTCACAAGTGAACAGCCTTTATCTGAAGATGCTTCCATGGTCATGTGGCTGGCTATGCACTGAAGATGCATGGAACATTTTTACTTTCCCACTGAAGTGGTACCTATTTATCTCCCTGCATTTACATGCTTTTGAATTGCTAGGTAGGCAGGACACACAGAGAGACACACAGACACTGTATGTACAGTATATGGAAATGGAAATGGATATTGAAATGGATATGGACATGGAGAAAAAACTGGAACCAATTTTAATACTCAGAAGCACATCTTCAATGTCACATCATATCTACATGATTCCCCCCCCCCAAAATCATTCAGAATTGTACATATTTTTCTTTTGATTGAAGACTGTCAAAAATAATAATTTGTCTCATTAATTTATTCAAAGGGATGGAGAAAAAAATTAAAGTTGCTCCAATGTTCATGTTGATATTTTATCCTTTCTTAATATATAGAATATTATCTGTCTCTCTATTTTTCTCTTTCTTGATCTCTCCCGTCCATGTATATAATCTATCTATCTATCTATCTATCTATCTATCTATCTATCTATCTATCTATCTATCTATCTATCTATCTATCTATCTATCTATCTATCTATCTATCTCATTTGTCTATCTCATTTGTCTATCTCATTTATCTACCTATGAATGATTTTACATTATAGAGCCAGAAGAGATCAATCAAATATATCCAGTATTTGAAATTATCTATTTTTAAAAAACAAAGTCAGAACATCACCCCAGAAAGTAACATATAAAACCAGCACACCAACCTATATAGTAACAAAAACACACATCACCATTAGCCATAGTTTTTAATTTAATCTAAAACCATATCAGAACATCTCTGGTAACAATTTATCTGACCTGGTTTCAGAAATTTTATTGATGTCATAATATGAATTTAGATTAGGACAATTAAAGGATATGATAATTTCAGATAATTTGAGTTGTTTTAGCAACTTTACTACACAATTATAATAACTTTTATAATTCAAAATTCACATCAAATGAAGAAAGATAAGTGACAACACAGAAAACATTACTTCAAAGTATGAGATTTTATGCTGCATGTAAACTACAAAAATTGCTTAACACGTTGTAAGTCTCCCTGAGTCTCCGGAGAAGGATGGCATATAAATCAAATTAAAAAAAAATAAACACCAAGACAAAGAAACTTAATGATTTTTTATCATCAGATATTCTTTGGTGTTCATGTCAGGTCTCAGGATAATAATGTAGCATTTGGGGATAAAGATGCAGCCCAGTAAACCCAGGCCAGAGGCCAGGATGGAGAAGATCTGCACGGCGACCATGTATTTCCCCTTAGTGCTCAGGTATGTGGGAACAAAGGAGATCCAAACACTACAAAAAACCAACATGCTGAAGGTGATCAGTTTGGCTTCGTTAAAAGCCCCTGGCAGATTTCGAGCCAGAAATGCCACCAAGAAACAGATGGCAGCCAAAAAACCCATGTAGCCAAGAGCAGAGTAGAACATGGTGACAGAGCCTTCATTGCACTGCAGCAGGATGTGTTCTGGTTGGGAATGAAAGTCAGAATCTGGGAATGGGGGAAAGACTCCCAGCCACATCATACAGAGGCCTCCTTGAATACCAGAGCAGGATAAAACAATAGAGTTGGCCAGACTCTTCCCCAGCCATTTCCTCATGCTGCTGCCTGGCTTTGTGGCCAGAAAGGCCACCACCACCATGACAGTTTTGGCCAGCAAGGAAGACACAGCAACTGAGAAAACAACACTGAAAATGGTTTGTCGAAGGAGACAGGTCATTTTCACGGGGCGACCGATGAATAGAAGGCAAGTCAAGAAAGAAAGCAGGAGTGAAACCAGGAGGATGTAGGTGAGTTCACAGTTGTTGGCTTTGACTATGGGAGTGTCTCGGTATTTCATGAAGATTCCCAGAATAAAGGCGGTGGTTAGGGACAAAGCGATGGCAAAGAAAGCCAGGATGAGTCCCAACAATTCTTGATAGGATAAGAAGCTTATATTTTTGGGGACACACTGATCTCGCTTCTTATTGGAATACTGGTCATCTGGACACTTTTCACAATGGGCTGCATCTGAGAAAAAAATGGTTAGCATGAATCTGTTTCTATAGCTGTAGGAGCATGAAAACCGCATCAGAAATCAATTACTTCATTCTCAAGGAATAATATAATATTTCTCCCCAGGGATACCCATGTGATACTACATTAGTTAACACTCTTTAAAGGCTGAAGATGAATGTGACTATCAGTTCTCAAATCTTCTTTCCTAAAACAAAGCAAGAAAGTAACAACTCAATAGAAATCAGCAACCTTTCATTATTTATTTTAATGCTCACATCATCATCCAAATTTGCCGAGAGTGCCCAATCTTTGAAGTTTGTGGATGCCTTCAAGAAATGTAATGTTTTTCTTACTTCTTGATCAAATACTCGCCCCAAAAAACAAGATAGAATATTGATTGTATCTTGAATTTTTGGGGGTTATTTTTGGAGCCACCTACTATACCTTCTTGCCCAGAGAATGTTCCTTCCATACACAGAGAACAGTCATAGCAGCAAACTGGGGCTCCCTCTCTCACAAGCTTGGCATAACCTGGGGAGCAACTTTCTGTACATCTTGAATAAGGCACCATCTAAACATAAACAGAAAGATTACTCAGGGTGATATACTGTATGAATTAGAAGGTTTTACTGAAATCAAGTGTCTTCCAGAAGCTCAGGAACAAATTGAGCAAAATCAGTCAAGAAGTAGTGGCATGAACTTTAATTACTCTACTTGCCAGGGGCCAATGAAAGGTCATTCTCTTTCCCTATCAATCTCCAATGTAGATCCCAAAACAGACTCATTGCCTCATTCTTTTTTCCAAAGGAAAGTAGTTCCATTGCAAAAAGTGTTTCTCCTTAGGGCATGTATGAGAATGCTTACCGTATTTTTTGGACTTTAAGACACACCAAGATTCTGAGGGGAAAACAAGAAAAAAAAGTTTTTGCCCTCCCCAGCCCCCTAGGAGCACTCTGCAGCCTCCCAAACCCTTCTGCATCCCGGTTTTTTTGCCTATTTTCCCCAAAAAAATGGATGCAAAGAGGGGGTCTTATACTCCGAAAAATATGGCCACATTCTTAGTGATATCTTTCTTTTATTCAATTCAGTGGGCTAAACCTTCATATTCTGGATTTTTCTCCCAAAGATGCATTTTCAAAAGACAACTGATCTTTGTTTTGCCTTGAAGACTTTTCGCTTATCATTCCAGAAGCTTCTTCAGTTCTGACTGAGTGGTGGAGTATGGAAGGATTTATATTCCTTACAGTCATCTGGTCGTTAGCAGTCTTTCTGAAAGTTGTTGAGGCCACTTGAAATTTATCTCTGCCCTCAGGGTCATGTGAATAGTACAAATGATTGTGGTTACAACACTGTCTTTTCAGCAGTTCCAAATCTTTCCATCCTCCACCATTTAGTCAGAACTGAAGAAGCTTCTTGGATGAGAAGTGAAACATCTTTAAGGGAAAACAAAGTCCAGGTGCCTTTTGAAAAAGCACCTTTGGCACAACTGTGACCTGGATGACTGAGAATCTCCATAGACATTCTGGATTTTCTCTTACTGAAAACAAGATAATTTGATGTACTATAAATTATGGCAGCAAATTCCAGTTTAATAATGTAGATTGCAAATCCTGGAATACAATGCAGCAGGTTCCATTGTATGATAGATTACAGTAAAACCTCTAAAGTAAAATGATATCTAATGAATTAATGAGGCTTTAAATTCTCTTATTGGAAGTTATCTCAATTGGCCTAAATAAGAATTACTTCTGAGCAGAAAAATTTCCACATATGGAGATAAATAGAAGAGCAAAATCCAAGCAGCCTCAACTACTTTGTTAAATAAAGTTGGCCATTGGATGGCACTTTGATTGACAGAAATCTTGACTTCCGAGGAGGCTTGTCTTTCTACATTCCCAATTTTCACCCCCGCATCTGTTTTGTTCAAAGCTGATGTCCACTGCATGATAGCAAAGTCACCAACAGGAACTCCATTTTCATCAAAAGAAATCCCATCTCTGGAAATATTGTGATGTTGGAAGGTTCTCAGGAACCTATGAAGCTGTAGGAAAAAAAAAACATTCCAATTTGAGCCTTTATTCAATGTTATTCCGGATTGGAGATACTCTGAATAATTCAACCTCTTCAAATCACCATTATAGTCAGGGCCGGATTTTCCTATAGGCTAACTAGGCTTCAGCCTAGGGCCTCAAGATCAAGAGGGGCCTACACAGTGGTGGGATTCTGGGGGTTCTAGGGGGTTCGGCCGAACCTTTTGTTAAATTGCTGGCTCACCCGCCCCTCGCCTCCCACCCATGCGGCGCCAGCCTACCGTAGCCAGGGGTAGGCAATTGTGGCTCTTTTACAACCTGTGGACTTCAACTTCCAGAATTCCTGAGACAGCTTGGCTGTCTCAGGAATTCTGAGAATTGAAGGCCACAGGTTGTAAAAGAGCCACAATTGCCCACCCCTTCCCTAGCCTGAGTTCCACTGCCTGGGATCCACGTGGGCTGCCATGTGGTTCCCCACCGGCTCCGGATGCAAGAGAGCAGGATGGAGAAAGCAGCTTCCACGCCTTCACTCACCCTCACTCTCTGCTCTGTTGGATCGCCGGCCGTTCGCTTACCCTGCCCACTCCCAATCTATTGCTGCCTCCGGAGTCCCAGCTGATGGCTAGAGGGAAAAAAAACGGTTTAAATTCTTGCCGCGGGGCTTCAAAGGGCCGCACTAGAGCCAGTGGTGCAGCCGAACCCTTTGTTAAATTGCTGGCTTGCCCCGCCCCTCTGCACCACTATTTATTGCCAATAAATAGTGGTGGGCGAGGGGCGGGGGAGCCAGCAATTTAACAAAGGGTTCGGTGTTTTTTTTGTAATTTTATTGGCCCACGGAGCTTCAGCATAGGCTAATTGGCCTCCCGGCTCTCAGCTGATTTGTCTCAGCTGTTTTGCTCAGGGCTCTTCTGCTTCCTTGCAAAGAGTGCTGATTTTTTTCCCCCTAGCTATGCTGAGAAACGAAACTGAAACTGCTTTGCTGTTGCTGCAAGGTTGGAAAATTAGGCAGGCAGAATTCTTTTCTTTTTCCTCACCAAAAAAGGTAGGTGCAAACAATGGGAAATTTAAGGAAAAAGAGGAGAGTTCAGGATTTTAAAACACAAAAAAAAAAAAGCTCTATTTAACTAGGGAATTGTAATAATTGAGATACTATTAATTGTATATTTCTGAAAGCAGAAATGGTTAAGTTGTGGTTTGGAGGAATATATGGGGGAAATGATTTGGTTTATTATTATTGGTAAATATAATTAATTGATTTGTAAGAAATTGGATTGCATGGAAATAATTGGAATATTCATGTTCATATTGATTAATATACAAAAAAGGTAGTTATATAACTAATTGATTTATATTAAAATGTTGAATTTATATTAAACAACTAATATTACATAATTAACCAATGTGAGGATGGATATAAAAATAGATGACAATGGGAAGAGGTATAATATAGAATAGAAGGGAAAAATTGAATTTGATTAAGATTAGAGATGAGGATGAAGGATAATATTGTTTTTTTACAAAAATAGATGAGGAATAAATATGGCAAAAAGGAAATATAGAAATTGTAAATTTAATTGAAATGACTAAACACTGTTTAAATTTGTGAACCGGCCAAATACTCTGTTTAAAGAAAATACATTGTATGTTTGTATGTGTGTTTCTAATTATTGTTATTTATTCATATTTGTTCTCTTTTATTCTTTAAAGTTTAACAATTCATTCTTTATCTTAATATCTTTATATTTGTTTGGGGTTGGCTTTCTTCCCTTTCATCTTTTTTATTGTACAGCAATCTTTCTCCTCAAACCTACCACCTCTCTCTTTTCTTTCCTTCTTACTTTCTCTTCCTCCCCCTCTTCTTCTCCTCCCTACTTCCTCTTCCTTTTTCCTTCTCCTCCTCTCTTCCTCCCTCTCTTACCCTCATCCCTACTCTAATTTCCCTTCCCTTCCTTCATCCCTCTCTATTGCTGTATCCTTTTATGCATATGGACTACTCAGAGGGCTGAAAAAGTTATTTCTGACTGGTCCTCGCACTTTTGACCAGACCTCGAACTTACGACTGTCCTCACATTTTACGTTTTTGCCCTATCTTGTCACCATGGTGAAGAGAAGCAGTTGTGAAATGAGTGACATGGTTGTTAAGAAAGCTGCACGGGCATAAATGTGAGGATGGTCATAAGTGTGAGGACCGGTCAAAAGTGCGAGGCCCAGTCAGAAATGACTTTTTTCAGCCCTCTGAGTAGTCCCTATGCACATAGCCATGCCCACCCGGTCACTTGATGAGCTACCCACGCCTACACAGTCACGTGACCAGCTAGCCACACCCAGTCACATGATTGCCAAGCCAAACCCCCAACTAAGCCACGCCCACAGAACCTGTTGTTAAAAAAATTGAATCCCACCACTGGTGAAAGGGCCTCATAAGTGGAATAGCCTAGGGCCTCTTTTCATCTAAATCCGGCCCTGATTATAGTCTAAAACTGATTGATTCAGCATTTCATGGGAAGCTTCTTCCAGTCATTCTCCAGGAATTTAAAGTTCTTTTTCAAATATTTATAGAATCTTTTTAAAGGCTGAAGATGAATTAGAGAAGAGAAGAGAAGAGAAGAGAAGAGAAGAACAGAGTTGATAGTGACCTTGGAGGTCTTCTAGTCCATCCCCCTGCTTAGGCAGGAAACCCTACACCACTTCAGACAAATGGCTATCCAACATCTTAAAAACGTCCAGTGTTGGAGCATTCACATCTTCTGGAGGAAGTTGTTCCACTGATTAATTGTTCTAACTGTCAGGAAATTTCTCCTTGGTTCTAGGTTGCATCTCTCCTTGATTAGTTTCTACCCATTGCTTCTTGTCCTACCCTCAGGTGCTTTGGAGAATAGCTTGACTCCCTCTTCTTTGTGGCAGTCCCTGAGATATTGGAACAATGCTATCATGTCTCCCCAGTCCTTCTTTTCATTAAACTAGACATACCCAGTTCCTGCAACCGTTCTTCATATGTTTTAGCCTCCAGTCCTCTAATCATCTTTGTTGCTCTTCTCTGCCCTCTTTCTAGAGTCTCAAGGTCTTTTTTACATTGTGGCAACCAAAACTGGATGCAGTATTCTAAGTATGGCCTTACCAAGGAATTATAAAGTGTTATTAACAGTTCCCGTGATCTTGATTCTATCCCTCTGTTTATGCAGCCTACAACTGTGTTGGCTTTTTAGGCAGCTGCTGCACACTGCTGGCTCATATTTAAATGGTTGTCCACTAGGACTCCAAGATCCCCCTCACAGTTACTACTATTGAGCAAGGTACCACATATACTGTACCTGTGCACTTTGTTTTTCTTGCCTAAATGTAGAACCTTACTTTTTTCTCCATTGAATTTCATTTTGTTAGATAGCGCCCAATCTTCAAGTCTGTCAAGATCCTTCTGTATCTTAAGCCTATCTTCCTGAGTGTTGGCTATTCCTGCCAGCTTGGTGTCATCTGCAAATTTGATGAGTTCCCCATCTATCCCCTCATCCAAATAATTCATTGTCTCACATTCTTGAAAACATGGAATAGATAACACCACCACCATCAGGTGGCTTTGTAACTGGCTAACAAATTATATTCAACATGGAGTCCTCTGGTGAACCTCATCCACATGGAGGAAAGTAAGCAATGGGGAACCCCACGTTTCCATTTTAGGCCCAGCACCCTTCAATATCTTCAAAAAAGATCTAGGCGAGGGAATTGAAGGGTTACTGATCAAAGTTGCAAATGACAATAAACTGGCAGGAATATCCAACACCCCAGAAGACAAGCTCACGATCCAAAAAGATCTTGACAAATTGAACATGTGCCCCTACCTAACAAAATGAAATTCAGCATAGATAAAAGTAAGGTTTTACACTTAGGCAAGAAAAACCAACAATATAGGTACAGACTAAGTGAATTTTTTTTTTTTAATTTTGATTTATATGTCGCCCTTCTCTGGAGACTCATGATGTCTTACAATGCGCTAAGCAATAGCCTTCATTCTTTTGTATATTTATACAAAGTCAGTTTATTGCCCCCACAACTGGGTCCTCAATTTACCTACCTTAGAAAGGATGGAAAGCTGAGTCAACCTTGAGCCTTGGCGAGATTCGAACCTGCAGTACTTGCAGGCAGCTGGTCTTAATAACCAGCTTAATAACAGGGTGCCTTAGACCACTGTACTACCAAGGCTCTTAATTTGGCTTAATGCCAGTAACTGTGAGAAGGATCTTGGAGTCCTAGTGGACAATCACTTAAATATGAGCCAACAATGTGTGGCATCAGACAAAAATGCCAATGCAATCCTAGGCTGAATTAATAAAGGGATAGAATCAAGATCACATGAAGTTCTAATATTGCTTTACAAAGCCTTAGTAAGACCACATTTAGAATACTGCCTCCAGTTCTGGTCAACACAATATAAAAAAATATTGAAACATTGGAAAGACTGTAGAGATGAGCAACAAAACTGATTAGGGAGCTGAAGGCTAAAACATACAAAAACAGTTACAGCAGGGGTAAAATCCTACTATTTTGGACTCGTTTGGGTAAACCGGTAGGGATGATTGGTATCATTTCGCCGAACCATAGCCATCATCCCTGGTGGTGCACACATGCCCGCTTGCCCGCTTGCCCACTCGCCTCTTCCGGCTCGCTCGCCCCTTCTGGCTTACTTGCTGCTTCTAGCTGCTCGGTCCACCCACCCACACCCTATATAAGTTCCCTTTGCCATGCGGCCTGGCTAGTTGCCTCACCAGTTGCCTCATCTGCTCAGCTCACCAAAGGTAAGCAATGCATGCCGCCTGCTCCCCCTTCGACTTGGGTTGGGTCCCAGGGCCTGGGCCCAGGGATATGCGATTCCCTGAGTCCTTGCAGCTGCCACCCACTCACTGCCCACCTCGATCGGTTCAGGGAATTCACCATTCCCTGTCTCCGGCCTTGCCATAGAGCCACCTCCCGCTTGCCACCCATCTTGACTGGGTCAGGGAATGCATCATTTCCTGGCTCCGGCCTTGTCCCGGAGCCGCCACCTACATGCCGCCCACTGCCCGCTCTCCTTTTGCCACATTATGTGTCCTTAATTTCCTCTCATGTCTGGCTGCCAGGGAAGGCAAGCCAGGGCTGAGATATCGCCGCTGGGCTGAATGCCAGCTAGCATCTTGCCTCCCGCCCCCTTGTCGCGAGATGCCTGCAGCCGCAGCCTCTTTCTTTTTTGGCGCACCTGGAGATGCTTCTTGTGCTGAAAGATGCAGCGGCTGCAGGCTTCTTGTAGTGAAAGTTTACAGAGCCGCTGCCCTTCTTAAACATGTCACAGCCATCGCCGCTCTGTTCCATGTGCTCGGTGCACATGGACACACCATTTACTTATTCATTCATCATTTATCAACGGAAGCAGGCAACGGTGTGCGCATGTGCATGGAACAGGATGGCAATGGAGGCGGCACATTTAAGAAGGGGAGCAGCTTCCTGTAACTTTTCCTACAACAAGCGTGCAGCTGATGCATCTTTGTCTGAAATGGTGCAGGGTCTGCTGCTCGATTTGTGGGTTGGACTAGAAAAACCTCTGAGGTCCTTTCAAAATCTTATTATTCTATGTTTTATGTGCTATGTTTTGCTGCTTCACCATCACAGCCCCATCTGAGGCAAGACTATTTGCAGATATGGGAAAACATGTAATGGGAGAAGATGGAGAATACAATTTTGCCCTCAGACCTGATCAAGATGAAGTGAGCAGATTTAGGTAGTAAAGTTCAATCTTAATCCAGAACAAACAATCCAGTTGAACTCCTTAGCTTGGAGATCACTTTGTTATCACAATAAAGGGTTGAGGGTTGTTGGAATATTTTGATGCTTGTTTAGTTTTGAAAATTACGTTGTCACCATAGAGTTAATTCTATAACAAAAGCATCCCCAACTAGCACAGGTTGTTTAACTTTGGAAGATGTTTCTCTATCATCTCTCTCTAACTCACCATCAGGATTCCAAGTAATATGCCCATAGCAAACAAGACTCTGAGGCAAGCAGGTTCCTCAAACATCAGTTTTATTGGACATATCATAGAGGCATAGGCTGGTGAAACCTGACTCTAAAGGTTTCCACAGTTTTCACCTAATTAAAAGTAAAAGTTTTCCTCCCCTTTCCAAACAATCAGTCACATGGTCCAATCAAGGTGTCATCCGGTTGCCTGGTGACTTCACTCATCCTCCCTCTGGCCATCGGTGGGAATGTCCTTGGTTCCCAGGAGAAAGTATTTTGTTTTGGCTACAAAACTCCAGCTATCTCTATTCCTCCCCTCCCTCTCTATCCCTTGGCTCCAATGTGGCAACACTGAAACATCAAAATGGCCTCGGTCAGGTCAGTTTCAGGATTGACTCTCAAATACCACAAACTGGGCAACTGCTCTTTGGAATATCTCACCCCTTTCTACATCTAATTTAATATTGAGGAATTGGAAGGGGAGAATCAATGGAACCTCAAGGGAGAAGACTTACCTGCCATGGCTGTACAATCTGGGGTGATTGATGGTCTCCAACTTGCATTCTCCTCTTACTCTGTTGGGAGGAGGAGGCAGCACTGAGGACCCAGGCCACAATTTGAATTATTTGGGAAATACTGGAGGAATCCTGAGACAGGATTGTTGCAATCACATCATGGGGTGGGAATTCCCAATTCTCTTTTTCTCTGCATTTTTTCCAGACTTTCTTAGATAACACAGGACTTGAATAAGAACATTGGAACGCTTCCTTTCCATACGATGAGAACATAGATGCATAAGATTTAATGTAATAATACTGAGTCCTTCTCTTTGTCTGGACAAGGAAGGAAAACAAAGCATATTTATTTTGGAGATCAACCAAGAGGTCAAAACTATATACACTTAAAGCTGTCAAAGTTGTTGCAATCCACACCCTTCCCACAATGGATGTATTAGTTGTATCAATCTTTTGTATTATTTTTGCTAAGATTCCTGAGGCCTGAAAATCCAGTTGGCATACTATAATTTTTATTTGACTCTTGATAAGAGAAAGGAACATTTTCCATTTTTCTTGAATGAGAGTTTCTCTAGCACTTGTCTGCATATTTGCTTCTGGGACGGTTCCTGAGATGACAATGCAAATCCCATTTTTTAGAGCAAGAACTTCAAAGCGTCTTTTGAATTTTTCTCCTTTTTCATTGTCCTGGGAAAGGAGGCTGATCCATGTCCATTGGAAATGCAGGAGCAGCTGGACAATTGCTGAGTCAGGAGGTTCTTGGTTTGGGGTCATCCGGTATGAAGAAGGAAAACGATGATTTTGCTCAGCCGTCTGGTTGATGACATTATAATTGATCTAAGATAAAACAGAAGGTATTGGTAGTGTAGGAAGTTAGCACCCACCCCCTCCTAGGAACATGAGATATTTTCAGTAACGGTATAGGTTCCCCTCACAGATATGTGCTAGTCGTTCCTGACTCTAGGGTATGGTGCTCATCTCTGTTTCAAAGCCCACACCCTCCTCGGAAAATGAGATATTTAGGAAATATTAAAAGGGAAGAATATTTCTTGTAAAAGGGGGGCAAAAACTCCACCCCCCACCTTTGTCAATGGGCCTTTAAGGCCTGAGCCAGTCTATTCTACATAACAAAGATCTACCTACTTCAGGCAGAACCATAATAGCAATCCCAAAGCCCTTTCATTACATCACCATCCAGCAAGGCTCAACCAAACATGGACTCAAAACACAACCTACAGATTTGCCCCTGTATGGCCCCATGGGAGTCTGACAACCAATCAGAATAAAGCTCAAATTCAAAAGCCCAGAGAGGGCATAAAACTCAGCCACTCTCAGCATCTCTTCCCTTTTTTTCTTCACCCAACATCTTCAAGGCATGTGATCCTGTTCACCATTAAAGCCATCTTTCCAAGCAGCCACCATGTTTCCAGTGTCTTTTCCCCCATTTGTAACTGAACCCAGAAGGGAGGGCTGGGCATGGCCCTCCCGAGCTCTGTTTTGGCAAGCAGAGTGTTGCAGGAAGCTTCCCAGCCAAAAATAAAGCTTGTGAGGGCCATGCATGCCCCCTCCAAGCTCTGTTTAAGCTGGCAGAGGGTTGCAGGAGGCCGTCGCAGACGAAAACGGAGCTCGGGAGCCCATTTTTGCTGGCAGAGCATTCAGGCCACAGCAGGTTCCCCTGACACAAGTGACGTCATCCTAGCCATGTCCACCTTTGCTATGGCTCCACCCGAAGTCAGACACAACCTGGATGTGGCCCTCAATGAAATCGAGTGACACCCCAGCCCTAGTCCAACTCCCTGCTCAAGCAGCAGACCCAAGACCATTTTACACAAGTGGCTGTCCAGTCTCTCCTTAAAAAAAACCCAGTGATGAAACACCCACAACTTCTGAAGGCAATCTGTTCCAATGATTAATTGTCCTCAAAGCTTTAATTCCACGTTGCTTCCCTCCTTGATTAGCTTCCATCCATTGCTTCTTGTCTTGACTTCTGGTGCTTTGGAAAATAAATTGACCTCCTCCTCTTTACGGCAACCTCACAAATACTGGCCTACTGCTATACACTCATGGAATATCTTTTTAAACTGACAAGCATATTAATTTCTCATAGATTATTACTACTTATTTGATTTTTTCGTATGTTCAGCTTGAAATATTTTTATATCCCCCTCAGCAATTGTTTAATTTTTTTTTAAAGAAAAAAGTTTTTTATTTTATAAACAAACAAACATACAATTCTTAATCAATCATAGTGTATCATCTGAATACATCTTTTGTATCTTCTTCTTATTCCTCCAGTATTTATCATATCTTGATTTAATCATTTTATTTATTGTGACATTCCCCCCCAAATTTCTTACTTTTCTATTAAAACATTTATCTATCTTTTTATTTTATTAAAAAAAAATTCTACAATATTATCCCCAACCATCCTTCAACCCCCCCTACACACACACACACACACACACACACACACACACACGACTTCCCAGAGCGAAAACAGGGTATAACATTTAACAAATATAAGCTAAAATAAGCTAACTTAGTACAAGATTCAAAACTCCCTCACACTCTTTAACTCCCCTTTTAAAAGTTATTCATCAACCTTCCTTTTATAAATTCTCTTATTACATTTCCCATTTATTACTAAGATACCTTTTAAAAATACTATAATCTTAGGTTAAACATTTTAAAATCTCTTAAAACATCAATAAGACATTCTTCACAATATAAGTTTCAGAACTTTTAAAAAACTATCCATTAAATTTTAAGTTAACCATTTTAATACTTCAATAAGTTTTTTAAAAAGCTATCCAATTTTAATTAAGCCTTTTTACTTCAATAAAACAGTAAACTTTACAGATTTATTACTAAAATCCTCCTCAAAGGGAGTTAATCTTCCATTCTTCCTTTCTTCCTATAATTTTTACAGTCCTTCTTCTTCAATAATACTTTCTTCTTCAGCATTGCTCCTCCCCCTGCTTTTATTTTTGAGAATTTTTGAGTTTTGATTTGAGGTTGATGTATCTTTGAAACTCGTTCTCTTCTTAGAATTATTTCCTCTAATTTGAAACCCCCATTTCGACTCTTCCTGCTTATATAATCAATCACTTCATTCCTCTGTCTGTAAAACCAAGAGTTATCATGATAAAATTTATCAGTTTGCAGTAAAGAGTCTGCTTGTTGCTTTTCATTTAGTTGCGTGGAAGCCTCTGCCAAAACCTCTGTTTCCGGTGTGCTAACCTCCATCTTAATCCTGACAGCCTCTTTTTTGTCCTCCAAACTCACATTAGTCTGGTTAACTTCTTCATCTTTTCCAGCCAGCAAATCATTGTTATTCTCCAAATTATGTTTTTGAAAAGTTCTATCAATTGATTCTAATATAGCAGAAGTAAAGGAATTTAAAAGTTCTTGTAAAACCTTTACAGTCACAACTTGTGAATTTGCTGACTCATATGATGATGATCCGCCAGCCTTAATGTCAGCCATATTTCAATCTTCACTTTGTATTTATTTAGCTATCAGTTCAATAAGTCCACTATTTTCCGCCCAATTTAAAAGTGTAAATTAGTTGAAATCAATACCATAGTCTTTTCCATTCCACTTCCACTTTAAATCTTTCTTTTAATGTGTAATCCAGTAGCTTTAACAATGTTACAAGCGTTAACAAGCACTTTCACTAATAAATTTCGTTTTCACGCCCTCAGGTGCCATTTTTCACCTTTTAACCGGAGTTAAAGTTCAGTACTTGCATTTTTTGTTCTCCTGATTTGCTCTGCCAGTATCCAAAGTCAAAATTCCTTATAATCCTTAAAATTGCTTGCTGGTGTGGTCACGACGCCTTGGTCTGCATAAAGCAGACTCATCCAGGATCCGGAGCAACTGAAGGGCTTTCAGGGAGCTCTCACCCTACAAACCCCAGGCTTAAAAAGAAAAACCTGGGGGTCTAGGGGAGCTCTACCCAGACCCTTCTGCTCTTCTCTCCCCCTTTTTCCCTGGTGGAGAGTTTCGAGCCGCTAGACAGCTGATTTTCACTGTTCTAGTGGCTAATGAAATCGCGGGGCTGGAGCTCCTGAAGGAGCGTCAATCGGCGTTCGCGGAGCCACCGGAAGTCTAGCAATTGTTTAATATTGGTGTATTATTTCATTGTCTTCATTCATATAATTGATTTCAAATAACTTTATATAAACAATTTAATTGGCTGAATTTCTTTCAGACATTTGAAATGCAGAAGTCAGTTTAATAACCTCCCTTTAAAAAAACTTCCTAAGAACACGGAAACTGGCATGCTCCAGTCTTCTATGCCACTTATGGATACACCTGTAATGCAAAGGTTTACCAGTTAGTGAATTTTCAACATTAACAGATTTTTCAGAAACCTCAGGCTTGCTCTGAGCAGCCTGTTACCTAATTTTCTTTTTATTGGCTTTAGGAGCCTTTGGAGTAGCAACAGGAACTCTCTCTGGAACATCTCTCTCTGGGCCTGTGCTCTCCTCTTTTGGAGTCTGTATACTTGCCTGTGCTTGCGGTTTAGACTTTGGCTTTATGTAATAAACACCACCAATTAACATGGTTTCAGCAACAATATCTCCATTTTTAACTTTATAATTTGCTTTTTCGAGGTGGTGGACCTGGAACTTTAATACTCTAGACAAGTGACTCTGACTAAGCAAACTACTATTTGCTGTTGGTATATAATAAACATCAGGAATGAATGCATCGAGCTCTTCAACATAAACAGTTCCTTTTCCTACGACCTGACAAGGATGATTGGAAAAAGAATAAAGTTCACGTAGTTCAGGTTCAGGCTCGTGCATCTCTGTAAAAAGTTCCTTTCTGTAGGTAACATGCAATGCTGCGCCACTATCCAAAGTCCACAGATGTCGTCTGTCGTATTCTGGACGAGGTTGTGGATCGTTGGTTAAAGCCAATGTGGCGAGTGGAGCTTGAGGATCACACCTTGGACCATGACAACCTTGTCTTCCGCCTCTGCCTGTGCCTCCTCTGGAGTCTGTTCCTCTGGGCTGGTACGTGACAGGAACTGGAAATCGTTGGGGACAATCCCGGGTGGCATGTCCCACACCATTACAGATGTAGCATCTTGGCATCCTTGGAACGTAGGCTCTTCCTCGGAAGGGATGCCTCGCTGGAGCTCTTGATGCGGGTAATCCTCTCAAATGTGGCGTGGCTAGCATAAATGCCTCTTCTTCAGTTAAAATTCTACATACATGATCCACTGTG